TCACTTGTGTAATATGCACCTCCATGTAGCGTTATATAAGCGAGCAAGAGCGACGTTGCATTTCACCCTTGACTCGCCTATCAAACAGAATGGTCCTTAAAGCAATAAAATAGAATCAACCTCTAAGTAGCACTCTAGGGCGATATATAAATGGGACATGTGAATACCACACAAACCGACTATTCTATTTCTCAGCATTCTCGCAAAAGTACAGATACCGAGTCAACCGGTTCAAGAACTTGTATTCGGTAGTTGTCCTCTTCAAATCCCAGCCAGGGCACAGACTATACTGGCTGAGCGAGATCTGGAGATCTAGCGGCGGTGACTACATATTGTGACATATAGGTCCATTGCAAAGAAACGGCTAGAATAAACGTTCCCACTGACAGAGATTCTTGGTATATAGCCCGTTGCTGGGCAGTGTACAAAAACGCGGAACAATAGGAAATATATTGCTAGGCAACGACGCGGTAACCAAGCATTCTTGATTATATGTGTCATGCGTTTTCAGTGGGATCCGTGCCGAGGAATTATAAGAGGGTACAGAATGAGAATTGGAGGAGTCCAACGGAGGACGAGAAGCAGAACGGAGCGTATCCTAGTAATTTGTGAAGTGGGTAGATCAGCGATAGCGCTATAATTGACTGTGATTAAGAGAAAATGTAAGCAAAAGAGTTAATAAATCCAATCATCAAATCCAGAACCAGTTGTTATTAGTCACGGAGCCCCGGACACGTGACAATATAATTCTAGTTTCTTGGATAATATGCTGTACTGTCTGGTAAGAGTTTATCCGAGGAGGCGTTTCTGCATTCACTGCCTCTCCGTAACTTCTGTAAAAGTATGCAGACTGCAAGGTGTAACATCCTAGAAAATAGTGCCCTCTGCTAACTGGTGATTTTCCTCAGTCTCTCCAGGAAAATTCCGGGATAGTGCCTTAAATTAGGTCAAGACCGCTTCCTTCCACATCCCCTCCTACTCAACACTCTTTACCATCCAATTATCCGGCGTTATATACTCTGAGTTGCTGAAAGCGTAGTTAAATAAACTACAAACAAAAGAAAATCAGCGGAGATTACAATGCACCCAACGAGGAATATCAGTAGCATCAGGCCGCGCCAGAGCTCAAGCGGTTAGTCGCTGGCTTCCCACCGCGGCGGCCCGGGTTCGAACCCGGGTCTGTTCAAGTGGGATTTGTGGTGGACAAAGTGGCGCTGGGTATGGTTTTCTCCGAGTACTACGATTTCCCTTGCCAATCTTCATTCCACCAATTGCTCCACAATCACCCTCACCTATCATCTGGGGCTGGTACAACAGGCCAGAAGTGGCCGCAGTACAAGGGACTTAGTCCCACCCCACTAGCAATAAAAGAAATTCCGTAGCTTCATATCGTGACTTCGGGAGCTACTGGCAGCAAGGTGTGATCACATATACTGTAACCCGATTGTGACGTGAACGGATCGAATAAAACTGTTTAAAACACGAAGTTGCAATAATGTTCCGGCTCGCTTCCGAGATTCGAACTCAGGGGTACTGGGAGACTAATATAAAGTCCTGTATGTCTGTACCTGGTCATTTCTCCTTGACATGTACTTTTTCCATTTCAAAGATCATGAGCCCGTTTTAGCAACGTCAGTAATGAATAATTTGAAATTAACATGCTTCCATCTAAATAGACTATACGAGTACATACAGATACTTTTCCGGGAACTCCAGAAACAATTAATGACCCTACTTTGGACCCGAGACAAATGTCTGTTATATGAAGACACCACACAGCTACTTAGTTTATACTCGATCCTATCCATCAGTTCATATAACGGTTTTCAGGTCATGAAAGAACAATGCATAAACCAGTTCTCCCTTTGTTTAGAGTAAGAAGTAGATGAAAAAATGAAGAGAAGGTGGATAAAGGGGACGGATGTAACATGCAGAAAACGAAGAGGAATAGAAGAGGTAAGGAGGGTTATGCCTATTAATGAATAACACTGGGTCGTATATGCTTATTACATAAACACGCAAAGATAAATTATTGTTACACATGGTATTGCGTGTAGGTCCGACCGTCTTTGAAAATGGAAAGGGGCATACAAAGCAAGCAAATCGATTTAGTAGACCGTGCAAAGGGAAATTATATTACAATTATGAGATTATTGTTGTTTCTGGTACTGAAAATAAGGCGCAATTGAATACCACTGCATGAAACCACGACGTTTCGAAGAACAGATTAATTATTCCAGTGGGTATCATGTAACTGAGAAAAGGTGATCAAATGAACGGCAAAATTGCATTCTGAATGATGTGGCTTACAGGCACAGAGTCCGGATTAATTTCGGTTTTTCTTCAATTTCGAATTTAATGTAAAGTGTTTTCAAAAATTTCAAATCCTTCCCCCTAAACAAGTATCGAAATGGGAAATTTATGAACTTATAAATTAGCAATGATGATAACTAGTTAAATAAATAAGATCTAAAAGTTTGTGACAATGGTACATTAATACAAATATCATGCTTTTTGACATTATCTTTACCTAAAAACGCCGTCCTGTTTATTTTTAAAAAGCACAACGTTTAGGAGACTGGATTCTCTCTCTATTTACAGGTAAAACCTACTCAGTTGGGGCAATCGATAGAGCTAGTCTCTAACTCAGGACCGGAGATAGGGAGACAGAATCTTGTCTCCGAAACATCGTGTTTTTGAAAATAAACAGGACGATGGATAAAATCCAAAAACATATTATTTGTAACTAAATAACTCTGTAAAATGTAACAGTCCGGCTGAGCAACTGGCGAATTTAGAAACTAACCAGGAACCTAACAAGATGGCAAGCTCACTACTGAAAAAAATAAATAATTTTCCAAGAAATTTGCTAAGTGAACAAATTTCCAACTAACGAACAAAGTGAATTGATTGGACGAGATCTTAGGCTGCACCACTGAAAATGAAGATCGTGTTGTTCAGGGTAGTTTCGTAGGAGGGTACGTATGTTTCGAAAGAACCTACTGTTTCAATACATAGGGCAGAAGTTCCTCCGAAAGGTTGGTCACCATTTATATGACTACACAGTGTTGCAATACACGAAAGCACATCTAATCTTTCACTAAAGTTAAAACCATAAATCTTCCATCTCCGTGGTTTCCGAAACCGATTATGTGCATTTACCAACACTGACTTCCCAATATTACATCGTACATGTCCAGCACACAGTTTCATCTTGACATGACTAACAATACAAGTATAATGTGACCTAAACGTCTGTCATCCACGGAGCAACTCACAATTACAAATCGTTTTCAAAGCCTAGTTTTCATCTAACTTTTCTACAATTTAAATGGCGTCCATAAGTGATGTAAGAAATAATGCAACAGACAGCGGGAGAATAAGAAGTAAAAATGCATCTCTAAATGTCCTTTCTGTAGGCATTCCTGTCATAGTCGAAAGTCTGAAAATCAACTCACAGTAGTATAGCAGTATCATGTACGTGCATATTACAGGAAGTGGTAGAGACCGATCGACACGTGATGGTATGGACTCGGAAACAATATTCCTTTCTTTCGGATATGGTCATGAACGTACACGAGTTCAGTTGGTCCAACGATGAACACAGAGGTGAAGCAGGTTAGCCTGCTGCCTGAACTTTTGCGCCGCAACATTTCTACCACTGTTTCCATGTTGAGACTTAGCCCCACCCCACTACTGCCTCTCCTCGCCTTCTCCTCTCCTGCGCGACATTACTTACGCAGGGCTTAATATACTGTATAATTTCGGCAAAATACTGGCATGTTGATGTCTTATAGATATGAAGGCCATGATGTTGGTGTTGAGATAACTGTTTCCTTTCGGTAATGACGTATTTTGTTGACATTTACGCCAACTCTTTTAACGTATCACAGATCAGAGTTATATTACACACGGGATCTCTCATAACCAGAAAATCCGACGGATGTATGATTACTCATACAAACGCTAACGCCACAGTCATACATGTATCACACTTACGGAACTGTACTATTGTGCGTTACCATAGTAACGAATTATCGAGCGTTAAGGGTGAGCACCTGTGTCTCCGTGCGCATAAATGTATGTCGTAGGTCACTAGTTAGAAACCCGTATTTAGATGGACGTACAACATAGAATAATGGAGCACATGAGCAACATAAGGTCAATAACAGGTCTATACTTGTGACAAGTAAAGATTATATATATAACGAAAGGATGAAAACTAGAGATGGAAGGCAGCATGAAATTATAAACACAAAACAAAGAGTAATACCAGGGAGAAGCAGACGGAGGCAGATAGTCATACATTTCGGGCCAATACGGACATAAATTTGCCTAATCCGTGAAGGCCTGCAGTAGGTTAAAGTACTTTAAGTACTATTCTAATTGTGGAGCGTGTTTATAACAACGGACAATACTTATTCAAATTCCGCGCTATTAACATACAAGAAAGACGGGATAAGTAAAAATGGGACACTGTAATATAGAAACCAAGAATAAATGAATATTCAATTTTAATGACTACCCAAACTTGAAGGGCTAATTATCGTTAAATTAGTCAATAAATTTCGCGCCTTTTATTTAACCCGATGTCTTTTAATGTGCTCACAAGATTCAACCACTAATTCTCATCCAGAACCAAATGCATTCAGCCCAAGCCCTCATCTTATTTATTTAAGATTCACATGCGGTAGCGTAGTTGGTTGAGGCACTATGCTACAAGCCGAAGGTCGCGGGATCGAATCCCGATGAGGTGGATTTTTCAATTGACCTAACCCTTCCAGCCGCACTATGGTCCTTGGGTCGACTCAGCCTCTAACAGAAATGAGTCCCAGGAATATTCTTGGAATGTTCTTGGGGGTAAAGGGTCGCCGGCGCCTAGGGCTGACAACCTTGCCGCCATCTATCAGCCGATTTTCCAGAAAATGTGGGAACCTCGACATCTCAGAACTCTACGGGCCTCCACGGCCTGTTACAAGGATACCTTCACTTTTTTAATACTATTTTTCCACATACTCCTGGATATAAACAGATACATATTCCTCAGGAGATCTGTGATCTGAAAAAACAGAACAGAATTAAGCTGATGCTATTAACACACGTATCCTATAGTATGAAGAAGAAAAGACTATCGAAATAATTTTTAACATAAAACTACATTTGTTTCGTAATTCCGTTGTTTCATGACCTCAAATTTCAGTTAGTGAGAAGTTTCGTAATTTGGTGGTACTCACAGAGCACGTCCAGCTGCATGTCCACTGTGACGGGCTCTCCGACGCCGTTAGCTGCAGTGCATTGGTACACACCCGCCTGGTGCCTGTCCACCTTCTCCAGCGTGATGGAGAACCCTTCTATTGCCTTCTCTCCCGTTGGTAGCAGGTTGTCCTGGAAACGACTGAATATCAGAGCCCGCCAGATACACAAAACTTCAGAAAATCCCACACACTTTAATGTTTTTCATTAGAACTGACGGTTCAGGAGCTCAGCAGTCACGTGTACTGTGGCTTCATCCGTCGCCAGTGCCAGTGAAGAACACTAGAAACGAAAATCTGCCTCACACCAAGTATTAAAGTGAAAATATCAAGAAGATGAAATGTGGGGAGAATAGACCAGGCATGCATAGGGTGTGCAACACTTGGATGGGAAAACCTTACGTTAAAAACCACCCCAATGGGTGAAGACACCACAGCATGAAAATGCACTTTAAATATGTAGGATCTATGTGTACTCGTGTGGCTTAGGGCTTGGTCCTCTTTTGAACTACTATCCATATGATGGGAAATTTCTTTTCAATTTCTGCGACTATGTGGGTCTCACTGAGGACTGTAACGCATGGTGTTAGGTACAGAAGTTCAAAGAATTATACCACAAGGAAGAAAGGCGATTCTGAAAGAGAAACGACACAAAATAGGACACAAAGGAAGGAAAAAAGAAAGCAAGGAAAGAAAAGAAACGCTAAACGTACACCCGCGGATGACAGAAGAGGAGCAGTAGAAATGTTACTCTTACATTTTCATTTACTGTTTCCTCAAGATAATTGTGACCGATCCGGCCAGCAAGTTAGCATTCGCTTGTATAATTACGTATTTCAAGCAAGAAACGTTTCTTACACATCACAGATTGATAGATATGACACTCGCTCACTCACGGAGCTGAGCCCTACTTGAGAAGCTGCCCATTCTCCAGCTAGTCAAGAACTTCCCAGCATTTTATGGAACCCGAAGCTTTATTACCGTGTTCACAAGAGCCATACACTGGTTACTATCCTGAGCCAGATCAATCCAATCCACACCAGCTATACTATCTCTCTAAGATCTATTTTAATATTGTCCACCCACTTACGTTTCGATCTTCCAAGTGGTCTCCTTCCTTCCGGCTTTTTCACTAATATCCTATATGCATTCCTCCTCTACCCATTCGTGCTACATGCCCTCCCAATCTCATCCTCCTTAACTTGATCATTCTAATCATACTTCGAGACGAATAGAAGTTATGAAGTCCTCATTATGCAGTTTTCTCCAACCTCCTGTCACTTCATCCCTCTTCGGTCCTTGTCCTCAAACACCTTCAGTCTGTTCCTCCCTTAAAGTCAGAGACAAAGTTTCACATCCATACAGAACCACAGGCAAAATTATAGTTTTATATATTCCAATTTTTACGATTTTAGACAGCAGACGAGAAGACAAAATGGTTCTGGACTGACTGGTAGCAAGCATTAACAGAGTTCAATCTCCTCTTAATTTCCTCCCGAATCATGTTTTGATTTGTTAGAGTCGTCCCCAAATATCTGAACTGTGTCACATACGAATCATCCGATTTAATATCTGAGGTGAAGAGGTTTAATTTTAAATTCCGAAGAATCATTTGCGTGTCTTATCAAACGTTTTTTAAACAGGAATGGTAAACCGAAAAGCGTTAGGAAGGTGCGGGCCCTCGCGGATTTCCGGTTCATAAATCAACCTTTCTACGAAGAACTGTGATAAATAATTCCTATACAACAGACAAGACTCTTCTTTGATGCTGGCAAGAGGAAAACGTAGCAAGCTATATTTCTTCTTCAGAAATTTTCTTTTCATTCTATATCCAGTAAGCACACCAGTTGAAAATTCAATTTACGTCACATGAAGGAGTGTGTTGATTCAATTGAAAACAAACATGAATTTATGGAAAGATTTATGATGCCTCTTTTATTCGAAAATGCGTTCATATAAGTGGAAAGTTTTTCAAGAACGGATTGACAATTATACAATTTAGTAAACAATTTGTGTGCACAATATCCATTGGTGCCCATATCGAACAACACAAATTTTCCGAACGTAACCTCATAGGTTCGCACAGTCGTTATGTTTGCAATCCAATATAACATATGGTAGCGTGTATAACTGCTGCTATGTAACGATCGCGAGAATGAACACGCGTTGCTTGGTAACGGCCGGTAAACACGTCAAAATACCCGGGCTATCGCTAGGCAAATGTTCACTAAATGGGTTCCCGCGGCAATGGAAACACATTCAACAATCGAGATATTGTTGGACTATAACAATTGAAAGGTTTTTTCTATGTGGTTCGCGCCGAAATCTTATAAGAAGGGTGAGTCAAGATGTCAGAGATATGGTGGCGAGTCCTAAGAGACTCGGACCCGAGAAAGACTGCACTAGCAAGAGCCAGCAGCATATACAAATGGAAGACCCGTCCTCTCGTCAGAGAGGGCGCCACACAAAAACAAGACCGTAAAATCCACACAGTAATAAATATCTGGTCATGAGCCCCAGATGGGGCTCGACACCAAGACTTACTGACTGACTGACCGTCAGTCGCATTGAGACTTGGACTTGTCAGAGAGTGAGGTGGAATATACCCTTGTGGAGGCGGGGTCGAATACCTCCACCGTGACGCTGTGAGTCGTAGGAGGCGACGAAAAGCGAAGTCTCGAATATGAGACAGTAAAATATGGTCGCGAGTCCCAAGGGACTCGGACCTGAGAAAGCCTGCGCTGGCAAGCATGTACAGAAGACTGACCCGTCCTCTCGTCAGAGAGGGCGCCCCAGAAGAATAAGACCGTAACTATCAAACAGCAATAAATATCTGGTCATGAGCCCCAGGAGGGTGCTCGACACCAAGACTTAACTGACTGACTGACTAGCCGTCAGTTGCAATGTGACTGACTTTGACCTGTCAGGAGTTGTCAGTTCAATTGAGTGAAATGATGTGAAAAAGCTGCTGGTGAGTGAGAGAGTTCAGTTGTCAGTTGAAAGTCAGCCTGTGAAGAGAAGACTCTGAGGTTGACGTGAAATGGCCGCCAGCCTGGGATCCAATTAGTTGAGGGTTAGCAGATGAGTCGATCTCTGCAGAGGACGCTGAGAAGAGATGGAGCTCTAGCTGAGTTGCCAGTTGTCAAGAGTTCAGTTGCAGGATATTCACCTGAGAGCAACAACTTGAGCGCGGTAAGCTGAAGAATCTTCACCGTTAGAAGCTGTTGCCAGGGAACGGCTGCTGGAGACACAGCAGTCTATGGAAAAACTTAGCGTGTAGTGATTCTTAAGATGTTGAGATCAGCAATGGCGCTGTAATTATTTGTAGTTCCAATTGGTGTGCATAAGTTGTCAATAAATCCATTTCCAATCCATACACCGTCTATAGTTACTACTAATTTGTAACAATATAAATCGTTACTAATATATTGTCGCACGTTTGGGTGACTAAGACACGGATTTGGATTGGTAATTGCATTTATTAATAACCTAGAGGTCGTAACTGCAATTGATTCTTACAATATTGCTGCTTTACACAATTTACAATTACTCAATACTAATCTCTTCTGCCTATCTCCACTAGTCTTCACGGATTTATGACACTGGAGCTACAACAGTCTCATTGAATCATACACACCAAATATTACACATAAATTTGTAATTTCAAATCACACGTTAAATCCTCACAGGCCGCCCTCCTGTACTCTTCTGTACTCCTAGTCGCAATTCGCTCTGTTCGCGTGCTTCCACCGCGACTATTTCTGCCAGTTTCGAAGCCAAAGTCTCATTGCGACTGACGGTCTCTCAGTCAGTCTTGGTGTCGAGCCCCATCTGGGGCTTATGACGACATATTTGTTACTGTTTGACTGTTGTGGTCTTGTTATTGTGGGGCGCCCTCTCTGACGAGAGGACGGGTCTGTCTTTGGTCAGAGTCATTTTATGTAGTAGTAAGTCATTTGTCATAATGTAGAGGACATTGACATTTTACATGTTAAATTTTCTACACCAGCTTAGGAATTCTGCTCACTTATATAGCCGAGGGACGGGCATCAATAAACAGTAAACACATATCACGTGATCGCTATCTTATAATGTGACGTCACCGCCTGCACGGAGAACACATCCTCCTCCATTGTTGCGTAACTTAGAAACGAACTATGTTTACAGAGCTGTTGCCTGGCAACGCGCTGATCAAATCCGTTACAATATTAAAGCATCCTGCTGCACATCACTTAGTATCAAACCTTACTGGTTCCAACGTCTCACGTGCAACACGTCTTTCTGTAGAATTTATAAAATATTATTCACTTTATAAGTTTTACACAGCATATAATTTTTAAGATAAAAAAATACTACATGTTTCGACTAATGATCATAATCAGGTATTAAAAATTAGAGTTCAGGAAACTGTGCTTCTCTTATCGTAGTTTCAGTTATATATTTTTTAATATGTGGTGTATGTAACGTGTATTCCAAGTGACCGGTTGTTCTTTCTGTTGTGTCCATGCGTATCCTGTTAGTATTCTTTTAATCCTTTATTTCTTATGGCGGACGGAATAGAAAGCTCCTTGATATATTATGATATATCTTCTACACTGTATCTTGTGTAAACGATATCCGAGGAGGCTACGGCGAAGAGAAGACGAGGATATATGCTTTGGGAATGCGTTTCTAATTCTAATTTCTGAATTTTTGAACTACATGAGTTAAATTTAATTTATCCTGGTGTTTATATTTATGAATTTTTGTATATATCTTAATTGCAGTGCTCTCTCCTCTTTTCCTATTTCATGACTGAATATTTTAATGTCACACGGTCGGCATTGTCTCGTCAGAAATGTAGACGGAAGCACTAAGTTACTCCAATACGTCGATAAATTTTAATAGTTTAGACGGTAACGAATGCTAGAAGACAGAATTCTTCATTATCTTCTTCAGTACAAAGAACAATTCAATGATTCTATATAATTTACTGCATGCTCCATACATTTCCTTGCGGGTGACTTTAAAATTTTCACTTTTGGGATAGACAGTATAGTTTTTCGTCCGTTGTCATCATTATACTGTATATATGTACTCAATATGTACCATAAACAACTAATTTGTATTCCGTGTATTACGGATTAAAATATC